TATATATATAAAGGGCCAGAAATAGTCTAAGTTGCCACTGTGTTCATCTAGAAATTTTAGTCCTCTTCTCAAGAAGAGAAACTTTTGCTGAAACTTGTAAGGTTAATTTGGCGATTCATGTTTTACTTAAAAATTCTTTTTCAAAAACATTAAAGTCATAACTTTCGACAAGTGAAATATGACATTCTATTTAAATGCAAAGATACATAAATTTCAGAATTCCCTTAAGGAAAATCATATTGTTCGCGGGTGGGAATTTCCACTAATGTGATGAAGTTGTTGCCAGTCGGATTGGATGAAAGTTGATAAAGAGATCCAAACATAGATTTTGGATGACTTAATATGATAGGGCAGGATTTTGGTGCAAAGTAACGTACATCGAAGTATATATTAGTACCTTTCAACCAAATATTAGTCCATTGTTTTTTCTTTTTCATAATCATAAATTGTTATTCAATGATAATAGACCACCTCTTCGACCCTTTTCCACTCAAATACCAAATTTTTGGTTCAAACGCATGGCGTGCTCTTATCCCAATTCCCACACATCACAACTGCACCAAAGCCCTAGGCACAATATTACTCCATTGTTCTTCCACGGTAGCTGCACCATTTCTGTTGAAGAAGGCAAAAACTAGCACAATATTAACACAAAGCATGCATTTCTTGACATTCTTTTTTGTTGTACCATTTCATTTTCTCAAGTAGCCTGACCAAGCTGAGGTGAAGATTAACATAGCATGCTCAAATTTGCCCACAGTTAGCAGCAAGCTTCCAGTAATTGCAGTTTCAGATGTTACAAGAAGCTCTAAAATGCAGCGGAATAAATCAAATTTTTCCAAGTTGATCAACATCAATATATGACAATAAACCTTCTTATCAAGAATTTCAAAGCTAAGAAAAATTTGATAATACACAGTGAAATTTAGACAGCAGTTTAACCATCTGATTATTGCCATTACCAGTACAATTCAAGTATATATATTAACTGTACAATGAAGCCTATTTCTTGGGTCTCAAATGCCAACTTCCTGATCGAGCAGTTAGGGAAAAGCTCCCGGATGCACTTGCTGTTTCCTTTAGGTCATTCAGAATCTATACAGAGGATTTTAATCAAATGTAGAACTTCTATTATACCGAGAACAAGCATCGCCTGAGCATCCACAGTACTGATGCCAGGAAAATACTCCTCAGCTCCCAGTTGTATTTGCAGAAGGCAGTTCAGTGGTACTGGGTGGGGGAGTTTGGGCACGTGGAGTACTGACGTTAGCAATTGAATAATCCTCATGAATTACGTTCAACTCGTTCCAGTCAAGAACAGCTATTTTTGAGTCAAGGATTCTATCTTCACAGGATAACTTTCATTGATAGCAAGAAATAAAAATAGAAAACCAAATGAAACAGGGAACTAATAGGATACAGTCTGCCCTCCAGATGTCAGTGATGCTAACATCAGCATCTGACAAAAGCCAGTAATCTTCTTCATTCTGCAGGACCGTATAAAAAGTCAGTGATGGAAAAAACAAAGTGATCCAATCGCTCATTTGAATTCCCAATAACTGCATTAGATTGTTTCTCCAAAAATCCTACTCATCACGTAAAAGACAAAATGATGCACTATATATGTTGAATTTCCTAATTTTCTTGCTTGTAAAACACTCAACTATCAATTTTTTAAGGCTTGTAAACTAAAACTTACATCAACATCTGAAACAATCTTCATGATTCCACTTGCAAAGTCCTGCGAAGTACCAACATCTGCGCACACACTTTGATTTTCTTTTTCGTCTATTCTGCCATCAACTCCTCCACTCTCCTCCTCAGTAGGCAATGTTGCAGTTTCATTCTCATTGAAATCTGATGTTGAAGGCATGGCTGATGGTGCCTCGACAGCATTTATCTCTTCAAACTTTTCCTCGAATTGACTAAATAAAATTTTCAAAACAAAGAAAGAATTACACACAAATCATCTATACTCTCCCTATTAAGTTACATTGCCCTTAAAATATAAACACTGCACTCTGTTTCTAGCAACATATTAATCGTTTCAATATCATAGATTAGTTGCAATAAAAAGAGAAAAAGTACCTGACAAGGTAAACGTCAATTGGTCCCATAGTGCTGCGAAGCACAATTCTGTATCTCCTTTGTGGATAATCAACAGCCTATTGGAGAAAGGAAGACATACTAATATATGTAGAACTGCTACTTAAATTTTGCTGAGGTAACCAGTTAAATAACCGGTAGACTTGCTACGATACTGAAAGGAAAGTTTCTGTACTAAAGAGAAAGCAGTTACCTCATCAGGATCTGGGACTTCTAAAGTGGTGCCATGTGGAGCTTTAATAGCTATCAGTGTTTCATTCTGATGAGGGCAATAAATGTGAGCGCTGATCATTTGATGAAAATTGCATTACAAAAGAATGAAAGGAAAAAACCAAAAGCATCTGTTCTAAAGTTACCTGAAGACAAGGTAAGCTCTTTATATCATCTTCAGTAACGAGAAGCCATCTTTTGGAGGAGATGAGTGGCAAGAATAAGGAAGGAAAAGTGAGCAGATAGATCGGCTGATAACCAAGAGTAACAAAAAGAACTAATAAACCAAAGAATGGGTACCTTTGATTGTTTTCATCTTCACACAGGTCAGTCAACCTTTCTTGCATTTCTCTGGAAAAAAACCAATATAACACAGTATTAGCATAATGGTGAAGCAAAATAAAACCTTGAATATTGTATTAGAGGCATTCAGAAGATAACCTTGTCTGTTCATCTAATCTACGTTCTTCAATAGTCATATTTTCTACTTCTGCCTGAAAAGGAAGCAGAAGCCAACGATTAATCCTTTGGCTCAGGCTACTTGGCAGATTATGACTGCGCTAAATGACAATTAAAAAAATAAGAAAGCAGGCAGGCATCGAGATATTTCTTCTTACCTGTAAACTTGTAACACTATCATCAACTTCCCCTGGTCTTGAGACATCTAAACCCCTATGTAACAATAGAACTGAATCACAACTTTTTGTTTATTGAATGATCTTGAATAATGTAGAACTTCAAATGATAAACTTCAATAAAATATATTTATTGGATAAGCATTTCATACTTCCACTGGATCCTGTTTTTGAGTTTCTTCTCAATCAGACCAATGCCTTCCAGGACATTTGTGATGTCATATATACGCCTTTTCTGCACCTGTTCTAAGGAAAAGATCTGTAAGCTGGTAGAACTTCATCACACATGCTTATGTAGTATCAACTGCGAAGTGAAGGTTACCTCTAATGTATCAGCAGCTTTGTTTAGATCTAGAACGCCATCTTCTGCATGTTTGATCAGGTTAATGAACTTCTTCGTTAAGAGACCTGAATGAGAATCAAGAGAGGTAAGTCATGAGTTACTTACTCTGGTATATGTTTATCCAGTACAACAAGTAATGTTTTAAGAGAGATGTCCTATAAAATATAAATGCACAAGCATAAAAAATAAAACTCACACCTAAATCCACACACCTAGGGACATAGTGGAGACAAAGACTAAAAGGCACAAATTGATAATCATAAGTCATAAAAGTAATAATTTACCCAAGGAGCTGTCGTAGCGGCAAGGACCAACTGGAGTAGCATTATTTCCTGAAGGGGATCCTGTAATTTGAAATATTTAAGAAGTTATATCTTTCATAATTTTATGTGTTCTAAAAATTGGTGGGTGACTCAGAGAAAATGCAAAACAAAGATAAGATGGAGCGATATAACAAAGAAAATATTACTAATCATTAAACTGTTTATCTGCCAAAATGAATAAGATAAAAATGATGAATTTTATATTGATGATATGAGATACATAAATTAATGTTGACAAAAACTTCTTCATAGGAATCCATACCTAAATTTGAGGTAGCAGCTTGAGAAGCAGATCTGGCCTTTGATGTCCTAGGAACTTTCTGTGCCTTTCCAACTTTCCCTGAGATTGGTGTCTGCATTGGACTACTCACGTCAGCATATCCAGAATCTGTTATCTGTGCACCAACTCCCTGTTTGTAGTTTGCTGTTTCACTCTTCCGTTTCAGTGGCTAATCAAGACAATAGAATATCCCCAAGTTCCCATCAGCAATAAAATTTAGAAGCTTTAACCAAAAATTGTGTCTGAAGTGAAGTTGATATATAGATACTATAAACTACTCAACCAGATTGTCATATCAAGAAACTCAAATTGTATCACTAAAAAAATTTAAATAAAGATTTTGGAAATGGAACATAATAAAAAACTAATATTGGCAGCATGACGATAATATTATTTGATGCTTGTCCAATCGATCTCATTGATTGTTTCAATAGTTCACTAAAAATTTGATGCAGTTTGGTATTTTACCAGTTATTGGTAGAGTAGACCTCATTCATCATGACAATGGTTGCTTAGTCCATCGCGTTATCCTTTTCCACTATCATATGACTTGACTTCAGCCTAAAAGCTACTGCTATAACTTCTCTAGACATGTGAGACAGCATAAGACTAGTATGCGCAAGTCTCTATGTAGTGGCCGACATTTTAGATGCTTCACCAGAACAGGAGGACTAGAGGCCTTCTTTTAACAGTTCAAGCAGGGGGGGGGAGAGAGATGCATAATGTATTAGAACATTGTAGCTTCTTAATTAGGCACTTATTTCCTCTAATGATTCCTCTAGTTTCTTTCTCAATTTGCAATTCACAAGAAATTGCATGTAACTAGCACCGATCCACAAGCTGAGTCATAGGACCAATCAGTACCTTGCAAATCTAATCAGAATTCAACTTTACCCTCAATCATGTACAGTTCTTACTCCAACCAAGAACCTTACGCTCTGAAAACCATATCAACCTTCATTTTTACTATTCAATCAATTTGATTTAGTTTTTGTCAAACCATAGCCAAACTCCATCAACATGTAACACCCTAGGCAAATCCCACATCGGGAATACTCGGGAGAAATGTTGGGTATATAATGAAGCAAGCCTCATGACGCGTGTTAAAGTCGTACTAACCTAGACACAAAGTGTTAACCTAGAATTCAGTCATAGACTATAGCAACTCTCTCGACTAAGAATCATTCCTTCTTACACATCAAACAAATGTTTTTTTTTTTGCAGCAAATGATGGCCATCCTGAAAGTTTAAACTGATTCATCGGAGAAAAATGCAAAGGGGAGGAACTAGTACTGGACATTTTTTGGACTTTGTTAGTACTCGTGTCCTAGATTGACACTTTGTATAGGGCCTAACTTCTCTCTTTTGTTTTTCTCTTTTGTAACTAGGCTTCCTGAAACTATGCATCTTCTTGATGCTCTTTTTAATGAAACACAATCACTTCATCAAAAAAAAAGATCCTTCTTAATGCATACAAAGACATTTGACAATTTTCTGCATTTCAAAATTCCACACGCCTCTTACATTGTAATTTAGATCTTGACCAACCTAAACGAATGACCTTGTCCCCTCTGCTTTCTCCTTCTAATTAAATTCTGCAGATATAGTCTCCTTATCTATTGAAAGAAGTAATGGTAACACAAAAAGAATAAGAAACCTAGCAATTTAGGTAGGTTTGTAGCTGAAAATACAAGAGCTGCTACAACTTTCATTTTATCTCCAAACTTATGGAAACTAAGACATCCATAAAGCCAAAAGACCAATCAATCTTGAACTCAAAATGACACAAAGTTCAGATCGGGTAAATTGATAAAGACAACAATCCAAATCAAGAAAGATCACATACTAGAAACGGGGACTTCCACACATATGAACTAATGAAAATTCAAGTCAAACCCAATTGAAGAAATCACCTACAGGACACAACCACATATATTCTACCTTTACTGATGCAAATTAAACGGCAAAATTTCCTAGAATTTGTTCAATTCACTCACTCTCAATAAGGGGACAAAAATATGTATAACAATAAAAGACCATTTCCAGTACATGAAAATTGGAAGACTCACAGTAGACTTAACAAGGATGGCTTCAGGCTGTTGAAGTGGGTCAGTAGAGAAGCGGTGGTAATCTCCAAGCGGCGGTTTACTCGACGTGAATGGGAGCTCACGCTGTTGATGATGTGGCTGCTGCATGATCTGCTACTCTTCTTTTTGAAGCAAACCCCAGCTGACAAAATTCCCAAAGTTTTTAATCGTTTTGATTTTCAATTCAACAATCAAATTGAATTGGAAGCCCTTGTGGCTATGGTTTAGGGGGGTTTTCAGAGGAAATTGAAGGAGAGGAATTTAGAGAAAAAGGAAATGGAAGGAATTGAGAAGAAGGGGAATTGAGGAGAGGAGAGGAAGAAGATGAGATCTGAGAATAGAAAAAGCGGGAAGAGAGAGAAAGGGGAGAAAACGAGGGAAAGGAAAGGGAAGAAAGAAACAAAATAGGTTCGGATATGTATATGGAGGGAAGCACAAGCACTTAATATGTAAATTTAATTTAAAGAAGAATAATGGAATCAAACTAAGTCAACTCATCTAATCATTCTTTTATTATTTCTGAATTGAATAATACTATTTTTTTTTAAAAATAAAAAATAAGATCTACTTGAAAATTTTGTGGTAATTTTTGTTTACACCTGAGATTGGGGAATTTTTTTTTTAATTGTTAGTAATATTTTTAAAAGTCATTCGGTACAAACTCGTAATGTTTTCTAGATGATAAATGATAGTATAGTTTAATGGTGCTATAAGAGTTTTGGTTACAGTCCACGTTTAGTTCTTCACATGGCATGACAAATGCTAAACGGAGTTGAGCTAATGGTTTACTAATATAACAATGGCAAAGAATTGTTAAAATATCATGGTATAGCCAGTTTTCACACTGGTCAATGAAAAATAGTCAGCGTTTATTAAGTCAATGAAAAATAGCCACTATTTTGCTGCAACAGGGACTGGTCCAGTATAATATACGGGAGTTCTGGTGCATTTGTGTACGAACTCCAGCATATTATGCTGGACCGGTATACTTTGCTAACTCCTGTAAAATTTGCGGGAGACTGGGGCGCCAGTGCTCCAAACTCCAGTATATTATACTGGACAATTATACTTGCTGGAACTCCCGTAAAATTTGCGGGAGTTCCAGCATAATTATGCTTGAACTCCCGTAAAATTTGCGGGAGTTCCTAGTCATAGTATCTGGTACTCCGTAACTTACGGTAGTTACTAGCATACTATGCTTAGAACTCCGTAANTGAACAGTGTTTTCGCTCAGATTTAAAGTGGCTAAATTTCAATGACTTTTGAAACTTGACTATTTTTCAACGACCAGTGATAAATCTGGCTATTTTTGAATTTCTCCCCAAAGAATTAAGTAATTAACGTGCCATTTTAGGAGGGGGAGCAAACTACATGTATATATAGTGGTGAATTTGCATGTTGAAAACACTTGTGGCGGTCGAAAAAACCTTAGTGATATGAGTCATTAGACAAATTGTATTGGTTTTTTATTTATTGAACAACAAATAGTGTACATATAGTGAAGAATTTAGGTAGTTGAACTTTACCATTACTTATGTATTAAAAGAATTAGCAATCACGTGATACATTTTATACATTATATAACTAATCTAGGTGCGATAGTTTCATGTAATTATAACCCGATAACTAATTAAAATATAATTTTTATTATAAGACTCGATATAAGAATATAGCTTAACTCTATAATTGCCGTTCACCAAATCTATTTATGATACTATTATTTCATAGAATTTAAAGAATACATTATCACCTTAGCAAGTTTTACATTATCGGGTAACTTTACATGTTGTAACAAGTTAGCTGCCTTATTTTCAATATTACAAAATCTCATTTTTTAAGGTTGTTCAGAAGTCTTTACTAGTAAATATTGTTTAAATGACCTGATAGTATAAAAATATTTTTTATCATAACGATGTATATAACTTAAATTTTTTTCTTAGTACTCAAGATAGCAAAAGTTATGCTCATAGTCATATGTCTTAAATTAAGCAATAAAGGATTTTATTAATTTGTTTCTTTTTTTTTTTTTTTTTTTGGGTGTGTTTTCTTTCTCTCTATAGGAACTTTAAGAAACAAATACTAATAGTATCAAAAGAAGAAATTAAATCGGCGGTTGGCGCCTAATAGAGAGCACCGTTGAAGTGGGGCGACGTTTTGGCGCGTTGAAACTCCACGTTTACACCTATATAACTCACTCGAATACGGCCCAAACGCTAACCAACACTCACTGCTAGTGTGGCGCCAAACGGACTCTGACACAACAAAACCCAATTTTGTCTACTAATGGGCTGCACCTGTTAAAGTAGCCCAATTGAACCATTAACTTCTTTCTTTTCTTTTTTTAGTTTTTTTGGGCGTTTTTCACTTTTAGCTCGCGTCAGAAACTATTTATATTTGGTAGCCGAATTAAGCGTATAAAATTTGTATATAACATACATAATANATATATATATATATTTCGGTTTTTATTTTAAAAGCGGCTATAGAGTGTCATTTTTCCTCTTTTTTTTCTGAAAATTTGCAGAGCCGTCTCTCCAAA